TTTTTTTTTTTTTTTTTTTTTTTTTTTTTTTTTTATTTGGAAATTCAAAAACCTTTGCGCACAATATTATTATTATTATCTAATCGTGAATGTGTGAGTGTGAGTGAATGAATATAAAGTTTATATCGGTACATATAATAAATATTTGATATTATACAAACATATTTTGTTTTATTTTTATCTGTTCAAAAAAAAACTAATAATAATAATAATAATAAAATAATAATGATAATAAAAAAATGCGTGCCTTTGAGAGTGAGTTTCGTGCAGACAAAATTTTTTTTTTTTTTTTTTCCGACAATCGATTCGATCACAATGCGAGAAAAAAAAAATTAAAATTAAAATAAAATAAAATAACAAAAAATATAAAATTTGAAATAATAATAATAATAAAAAAAAATCGTCTGTTTGTTTTCATGTATCCGCGCTCGTACTGTACTTTGAACGCAGATCAATAGTTCAAAATAATAATAATACTTTTAAATAATCTGAATTGATATTATTGTGATATCATTGTTACAAAGGCTTTACTAATTTATTCCCGAATTTTATTTTTATTTATTTTTATTTCAATTTTTCCTACTTTTATCTGTTTTCTTTACTTAAATATTTTATTTATTTTATTTTTCCCTGTTCTTTTTTTTTTTTTTTTCTCTCGACATTTTGCGACTCGGTGCTGATAATAAACTAAATCCATCGGATAAATATAAGTTAAAGGTTTGTTTGATGATTATTATTATTATTTCCAGAACCGTCAACAGTTCACAGAATCATGTACATATAAATAAGCGTTGTTTACTTTTCAGAGTCCGGCCAATATTATTCTCGGATCTTCTACGCCGTCTTTTATCTTACGAAGGAACATGACCGCTTCGCGACCGTCAATTAAACGATGATCGTATGTTAATGCGACGTACATCATTGGTCGTATGACAACCTGTAACGGGAAAAAATGTAAAAATTTGTAAAAATGTTCCATTTCCGTTTCCGGTTTTTTGATCTTTTCCTATTTTTTTGCCTTTTACCTGTCCGTTTCTGGCTACGGGCCTATCGAATATCCCATGCATTCCTAATATAGATGACTGAGGAGGATTTATTATGGGGGTTCCGAGGAGAGAACCGAAAACTCCTCCGTTGCTTATGGTAAAAGTACCTCCGTCCATATCCTCGATAGCTATCGCGTTATTACGAGCTTTTTCACCCAATTTATTTATAGCGATTTCTATATCGGGATAATTCATGCTTTCGACGTTTCGTATAACGGGAACAACCAAACCCTAAAATAAGGAAACTAGTAATGATAATGATAAAAAAAAATTTCAGTTGAAGATGGATTGAAATCCCCAACCTTTGGCGTCGCGACTGCGACCGAAATATCGACGTAATCCCTATAAATAATTTCCGTTCCTGTCGGATCGATTACAGCATTTACGACTGGTTGGTCTTGAAGTGCATAAGCAGCAGCTTTTACAAAAGCCGACATGAAGCCCAGCTTCAAACCATATTTCTTTTGAAATTTTTCTAAGTTTGTCTTTCTAAACTCCATTATATTGCTTTAAGGAAAAAAAAAAAAAAAGGATTTAGAAAAGTGATCGCCATTTTTTTTTTTTTTTTTTTTAAATTAACCAACCACTACCTCATATCAATTTCGTTAAAAGTCGTTAACATGGCGTTGGTGTTTTGTGCATCTTTTAACCTTTCGGCAATTCTTTGCCTCATCCTGTTCATTTTAACCCGTTGTTCCGTTCTGGTTCCTGTTATTTGTTTTGAATAATCTGCAGGTGGTACCTTTTTGGGTAGGAAAAAAAATTATTTGATTTTTATTATTTTTGTTTTTTTTTTATGCTTTAACAGCTCGTAATTTATTATTTACCTTAACTGTTGCACCTGAAGCTGGTATAGACCTCGGTGGAGGTGGTGGTGTCGAAGATTTCGGAGCAGCAGGTTTTGGAGGAGGTGATTTTGGTGCGGCTGGCTTGGGAGGAGGAGGCGCCGCTTCTGGCGGCTTAGCAGCCGGTGGAGGTGCTGAATCAGAAGGTGGTGGTGGTGGTGGTGGAGGTGGCGGCGGAGGAGCTGCGGCTTCCGCAGCAGGTTTCGCAGCAGCTTTTGGTGCTCCTAATAATAAAAAATTATTGAAAATGCATCAAAATGAAAATTTTACTTTTTCACACTTTTAAATGGAAACAAAAAAAAAAAAATCACAAACCTCCAAGTTTGATTCTAAAAAGTTTTTGTCCCGCTTTAACTGTGGTACCATCTTCGACAAAACGCTCTTCGATTACACCATTACCAGGAGCTGGAACTGCTATGGATGTCTTTAAAATTTCAAAATTTCAACCAGAATTATTTTAAAATTATCATTTATAAAATTTAATCAATAATTATTACCTTGTCTGTTTCAATTTCGCAAACTGTTTCATCTTCCGAAACTGCATCACCGACATTTTTTTCCCATCTCACATCTCCCTCGGAAACGGAATCAGCAAATGGAGGAACGACAACTTCTTTAGTATCACTACCTAAAATATTTTATAATAACAAATTAAAACCATGCAAATGTTTTATTCATGTAGCATTATTAATTTTTGTGAACTATTTAAAAAAGGTCACAGATATCACAGCTCAGAGGAGGTCTCACAATTAATGAAAATTTTAAATGTTAACGGTGAACTTACCTAAAATAGGTGAAAAGTGTATCCTTCTCCTACAATTTAACCATTCCCTTCTAGAATTTTCAAATGACCTAAAGGATAATAATATGATGAAATAAAATAATAATAATAATAATAATAACACATTTTACATAATCTTAATGAAATGAATGAAATAATTAATAAGAAGCAAATGGGGGGGGAAAAAAAAAAAAACTGATTTATCATGCTTCAATGTGAAACTCTCAAGGACTTAAAATTTTATTTTTATTTTTTTTTTTAATTTAGGTATAACTTACTCGGATAAAACTGAAGTTAATGATGAACATTTACAAAAATTTCGGGCGTCACTTAGGCGGTAGAATGTTCTTAACTGGCGTAGATTCTACATTTGAAATTAAAAAAATTTAAAAAATGATCAATATGTAATCCAAATTTTGTACATCTCACTACCAAACTATGTGAATAACACATATTCTGTAAAAACGTTAATAATACAAATTAAATAGGAAAATAATAATTTTTTTTTTTTACTCGACAAGCTGTAATAACAACTCAGATGATTTTAATTTAATAATATGAAAGTATGAAAAATAAAATTGGATGATAATGTTGCATTAGTAAATATATATATATATATATTTTAAACCTTTTTAAAAAATAATATTTGATGGTTATTTTTAAAATAAATTAATAAATTAACGGATGGAAAATAAGGATAAGAAAAACTTGCCTGTGTACTAGATGATTTCCTAATGGCTTTTCCTCCGGCCCGTAATAAATTTTGCGGTAAAGACCGCGAAGAAAAAAATAACATTCCTGCCATTTATGGTGCAAAAGAATTTGAAAAAAATGGAGCAAGAGCAGAAGAAATCTAGGACGGTGCCAACATTTGAAAAATTATTGGTATACAACTTTGTAATTAGCGACTTTTACAAATTTTTTTACACGCGGGAAATTTAACAATAAAAAATTAAAAATACGGGAAAATGAAATTTTTTTTTTTTCTTGTGTCGAATTAAAAGTCGTTATTTTAACGGTTTTTAAGTTTTTTTTCTCATTTACAAAAACGTTATTCGCAACATCGTTTTATATTTTTTTATTAAAAGTAAATTTTTTTTTTTTTCGTTCACTTATCACTTTAATTACATTACACAATTATATGTGAAAAAAAAAAATCCGTTATAATTTTCAATTATGTATTTTTTCAATGCATGCAATTTAGGCTCTAAATTAATGTTTTGGAAGTGTTAAGATTCGGATCATAAAAATTTTATTAGATTTTTTTTTGTTTTTTTTTTTTTTTATGTCTTATCGGGTTTTAAATGTAATATTTTATTTTTATCAGTAGGTAGGTATTACTCAAAAAATATCATCTATTTTTTTTTAAACAGTTAATCAATTTCAAATTAATTTAATTTTCCAATTTTCCAATGGAATTCATATTGGTTATATTGAGTTTTTACATTACAATAGGAAATGCAATTGGTAGTGAATTAAATTAAATAATTCATATTTAAATTGTTTGTTTTTTTTTTTTTTTTGTTTTTAAATTAATAATTATGTTGTTACAGATTTTGAAAGTCATGAAAATTGGAATTTATTGTCTCTTGATAAATGTGGACAAATTAGCACTGATAGAATTATTGGTGGGACAGAAGCACCCATGAATGCATACCCCTGGATAGCTAGAATCGGTTTTAAAAAATTAAATGAAAGTAAAATAAGATATAAATGCGGTGGAGTTGTGGCCAATTCTTTTACTATTATTTCAGCAGCACATTGTTTTATAAATAAACCCAAATATGAAAAATTGTAAGTTAATCTTGTATCATGAACTATTTAAACCGAAAAAATTTTTTTTTTAATCATTTATTATTAATTTCAGTGTTGTCATACAACTTGGTGAACATGATGTAAGAACAAATCCAGATTGTAGAGATGATTTTTGTGCAGATCCTGTCGTTTATGTCCATCCTCGAGAAATAGTCATACCAATCAATTATATGTACTATAAGTATAAACATGATATTGCTATTATTAGAACAGAGGAAAAAATTAATTTTACAGGTTGCACATATTTAAATTCATAATTATTTTTTATTGAAATATGTCTATGTGTGAAATTTTGACATTAATTTTTTTTTTTTTTAAGGATTTGTAAAACCTATTTGTTTTCCAAATAGTGAAATGGCTCAAAGAAATTTGACAGGAACCACTGGAGAGGTTGCAGGATGGGGTGTTATTGATCCTGGTACATAAAATTATACAACAATTAATTTATTATTAATTTAATCGTTTGTATTTTCATTTAAAACTCGTTTATTATTTTTATTTAGATAAATTAAAACTTAGCCCAGTTTTACAAATGATTAGGTTGCCGATTGTAGATATTTTGGTATGTAAAAAAAAATTACCTTTTTATCTTAGTATTGGAAAGACTCAACTATGTGTTGGAGGAATAAAGGGAAAAGATTCTTGTAGAGGTGATTCTGGGGGTCCCCTCATGACGGTATAAAAAAAAAAAAATTTTTTTTTAATTATTGAAATTTGCACGAATGCATACAATAATAAAAATTTTATTTAGGTTGATGATTCGAGCGGAGAACCAAAATATTATTTGTTGGGTATCGTTTCATTTGGAATAAATAAATGTGGTAAAACAGCTACACCTGCTGTATATACAAAAACTTCAGCTTACATGAATTGGTTATTAGACAATTTAGTCGAAAATTCCGATAATACAAAAGTTATAAGAATAAAGAGGGTTCTAGATTAAAAAAGAAATATCTATAACGATTTTTTATTTAAAAAAAAAAATTTAATTTCGACGATAATTCACTTAATTCATTTACAAAAATATTATTTAAAAACAAAACAAAAAAGGATGTATAAAACGTTAAATTTTATTTAATTGAAATTTGGCAACATTGTATTTAATTTTTAACCAATCAGATTCGAATAAAATAAAGAAAAAATTATGATAACTGCATCCATATTGAACTCTGTGTTTCAGTTATCAAATAATTGCAAGGAAATGTCATTTTTTTTGTTTATATTTTTTTTTATTTAACAAAAAATAAAACAAAATTATTTAAGTTATTAATCAGTTAAAGAATAACAGAATATATATATGTATATTTTTACTTTTTTTTACCTTTAACGTAGAGTTTTATAGATGAAACGTAAAATTTTAATTTATATTAAAACTATTAGAAATGTCAGTAGAAAGTATTTCATTGTTCATTGTTTAAATTAATTAACGAATGCTTCGAAAAGATAATTCACGAATTCCAAAAAGAATTAAAAAATTTGATAATAGCAAACCTCAGGAGGAATCAATTTCAGTTCAAAAAAAAAATTTGTTTATTATATCATATCCAGTTGTATTTTTGTTTGTCATATTTAGATCAATTTTACATCACTTGTTTCTTTTACTCAAAGCATTAGGAACGTTAATTACTTCAAATAAATTTAAATTTAAAAGTAATTCGGAAAAAAATAATAAAGAAGGAGTTATTAATGACGCAGTAAAAGATGAAACTTCAATTGTAGAAACAGAAAAAATGTCTAATATTAACAAACATCAATTAGGACCTGGAGATCCGTTATTGGTTAAACAAAAGCAACATCATCGTCGTGCTTTTGAATACATTTCAAAAGCTCTTAAAATCGATGAAGAAAATGATGGTAAATAATTTGTTTTCATAAATTTCCCAGTGAGTATTTCATCATATATTAATTCATTTGTTATTTTAGGTCATAAAGATTTAGCCATTGAATTATATAAAAAAGGAATATTGGAATTAGAGAAAGGTGTCGCTGTCGAATGTAATGGAGGAAAAGGAGAACTTTGGGAAAGAGCTCAAAGATTACATGAAAAAATGAAAACTAATTTATCAATGGCTAAAGACAGATTAGAATTCCTTTGTACGTTTTCATTTTATTAATTGAAATTTTATTTAATTTTTATTTTACCTCGAGTAAAAATTTATTTTTTAAATAATTTTTTTTGTTTTATTTCAAAGCTTCAAGTCAGAAAATTTTAACTGAAAAAAGACCTAGCCTTCAGGGAACTAGAAGCCATACATTACCAAGAAATATGGGATCAAGATCAAATCCCAACATTGGAGGATCAGCAAGTAGATCCTATAAACCAGCATCGACACCTCCTGCTGTTAAACGTCAACTTTCCGTTAGTGTTTTTCTTTAATTATTTTTTATTTATAGTCGACTTTGTTATAATTGTAAAAATTTGTGTTGATAGGGTCCAGGTAGTTCACCAGTTCATAAACCTGGTAACACTACAAAAACTAAACCTGGGCAAAAAATTCAGAAAGCTGAATGTTTAAAAGGAGTAAATTCGAAACTTGCTCATACAATTTTAGATGAAATTCAAGATAATGTGTGTGGCGTAAAGTGGGATGATATCGCTGGTCAGCATGTAAGTAATTTCATCATCATTATAATTTTACCCTTAAGAAATAATGATAATAAATGTTTTTCAGGCTGCTAAACAAGCATTGCAAGAAATGGTCATCTTGCCTTCTCTTAGACCAGAATTATTCACAGGTCTGAGAACTCCTTCTCGAGGTTTACTATTGTTTGGACCTCCTGGAAATGGTAAAACGTTACTAGCCAGAGCAGTTGCCAGTGAATGTAATGCCACATTTTTTTCCATTAGTGCTGCCAGCTTAACTTCTAAATATGTTGGAGAGGGAGAGAAATTAGTGAGGGCTTTATTTGCTGTCGCAAGAGAATTACAAGTAAATTATTTAATCTGTTAATTTTAATTGTTCGCAAAACATTTTGGTTTTATTTTTTTCTTTCTAATGTTAAATAATCGGTGATTTTTAATTAAAAGCCATCAATAATATTTATTGATGAAGTAGATTCGTTATTGTGCGAAAGAAGAGAAAACGAACACGAAGCGAGTAGACGACTTAAAACAGAATTTTTAGTCGAATTTGATGGACTTCCATCGAGTCCCGACGAAAGGGTTTTGGTTATGGCGGCAACAAACCGACCGCAAGAATTGGATGAAGCCGCGCTAAGGTGAGTTTTTTTTTTTTTTTTTTTTTTTTTTTACGCGCGCACGAACAAATCAAAATATTTCTATACGGGAAATTTATTTATTTACAACAGGAGATTTTCGAAAAGAATTTACGTGACATTACCCGATCATTCCACTAGGAAAGAATTATTAAAACATTTATTATCAAAACACGATAATCCGTTAAGCGATTACGAATTAGAAAAATTAGCAAATTTAACGGTTTCATATTCCGGAAGCGATTTAACGGCTTTAGCTAAAGATGCTGCTCTGGGACCTATCAGAGGTAAAAAAAAAAAAAAAAATATTTATATGCATGAACGTGCACGTATTTTTATTTATTATTATTATCATTATTTTTTAGAAATAAGCGCGGAACAAATGAAAACGTTAGATCCTAAAACCGTTCGAAACATAACGTTTCAAGATTTTAAAAATTCATTGAAAAGAATTCGACCTTCTCTATCAAATTCTAGCTTATCTGCATACGAAAAATGGAATTCGCAATATGGCGACGTGAGCTTATAAATTTTTTTGAAAATTTAATTTTTAATTAATTTTTTTTTAATTAATTATAATTATCAAACGCTATTACTACTACTACTACTACGCCTTTTACGCAATGAGTGCAATTATTTTTCAATAATAATTTTATTGTTATTTATTATTAATTTTTTTTTGCTAATAGGCTGAAAGGATTTTATCAAAGAATGCATTAAAAAAAAAAAATATTTTACAAATAAAAAATTTAATAATAATTTGAAATAATTTCGTTTTATTTTATTTATTAAATTAATTTCTGTGGGAATCATCGATTATGGAATCGACTGTAGGTAAATACGTTGGATAAAATTTTTTTTAAATTTTGTATTTCCAACCAAGCACGAAATTAATTTTTAATTAATGTCGTTTGTCAGGTAAATCCGAAAACTCGTTGAAATAATCGAATGACGTCATTTTAACCAAAACAAATTTTTTTCTTCTTTTCACAACAACATATAACGATAACAGAAACAGAAAAAAAAAACCGTAACGTAAAATATATTTATCAATATTTCATAAACACCTTCATTTTTCTCAAATGTTTGTTTAATAAACAAAAAAAAAAAAAAAAAACGAATGGACAGCAAAATTAGAAAAATTTTTTATCGACCGTTTAACACTTAACAACATAACACAAACGTTTTATTTATTACTCTAATCAGTTTTATTTTAATTAAAAAAAATATTTTGATAAGTCGTACTTCGTTCGTCATGGCCATAAATAAATTTTACCTCATAATTAATTAATTAATTAATTAAATAGAAATAACGTTTCATAACAATTTGAAATAAGGATAATAAAAGAGGTCAAAGGTTATATTTTTGAATTATCAATCGTGATAATAATTTTTTTTTTTTTTTTATTAGTCAATTCGTATTATTTGACCCAAATAATATTTTATTTATATAAACTTATCGTACAGACCAGACGACATTTTTCAAACATGGCTACAAAAATAAATATTTAATCATACAACTTAATTCATTTTTTTATTATTATTATAAACATCACCGGACATTGTTAAATTCTTTTTCTTACTCACATTTCTCAACAATATTTAATTACAAAATATTAAATACGGTTTATTTTTTAACTTTTTTTTTTTTTTTTTATTGTAATACGATATCAAAACCGTGGTAAAATTACAAAAGAAAAATAATAATATTTTTGTTAATCGAGTACATTTTCCGCCATTTAATTAATTACGTTATTTTCTTCTTATTCTTTAAAATAAGAATTCGATTACTATTTTACACTTTTTCATACGATTATTTTTAAACTTAAATATTTAAATATTTTAATTAACGAATTGATTGATTGTTATTCTCGAACGTACATTTTACCACCGGGGGAAAAAAAAAAAAATTTTCACGTGGCGGAAGAATAACGGTCAATCAATCATTTGTTCGACAAAAATTTACCCCACCTTCTTATGACGTCATTTTTCCGTTAAAAAGAATGTTTTGTCGTTGTTTGTTAAAAAGAAAAAGGAAAAAAATTAAAAGAAATTTATTTTATTTTATTTAATTAATTGAATTATAATTATCAAATGTTTTTTTATATTTAAATTTTGTTTTCATTTTATTCAATAAATCAAAAATTGCCAGGTAACTTTTTCATTTTATTTTATTTTTAACAGACTTTCATATAATAGTAATAATGATAATTAAAAACGGTTTTCAAAAAGGTTAATAAAACTGGGGTGGAGGGAAAAAAAGGAAATAAAAACTTTATGTGTGTGTGTGTGTGGTTTAAATAATAATGATAAAACACAAAGGAAAAATTAAGTGAAGGCAATGAAATAAAACCGTTAGGGAAAAAAAACAAAAAAAAAACAAAAAAACAAAATGGCAGTTTTTTTTCTTTTTTTCCTTTTCTTTTCTTTTCTTCGTATAATCTATATTTATAATTATGTAAACTTAATATCTAATGTATTTACTAATCTAGATATAAACTTAAGTGTTAAAAACCTATCGTAGTTTTTTTTTTCATCATCATCATCATCATCATAATCATCATTTTCATCATCGTGTTGAGAGAGAGAAAAAAAAAAAGCAAATGAATGTTAACTCATTATTTTATCAACCATTTTTTTTTTCGAAAAGAAAATAATAGACAAACGACAAACGACTTTTGGAAGAGGACATCATGTCGTGGTTGTCGTTGACGTCATCATCTTAAAATTTCCTTTCGAAAAACTTTTTATTATTATTATTATTATTATTTTCGGTTGATTCGTTATTTAATTTTTTATTTTGTCGGTTTACTTAATAACTAAAAAAAAAAAAAGCTGCTAAGACACGCGTGAAATTTTTTTTTCTCTTTTTCTTCTTCTGCTTGTGTTGTTGGTGGTGGTGGTTGTTGTCTTGGTGGTTGTGAAGTATCCCTCCTTCTCCTCATCTTCTTCTTTTTTTTTGTTTTTTTTGTTCCTTTTTAATTTTTTTTAGTTTTTTTTAAATTTTTTTTTAAATTTTTTTTTAATATTTACAAATTAATTGTATTTAAATTAGGAGAACCAGTTTTTTAAGTGATATTAATTTGTCAAAAAAAAAAAAAAAAATTTTCTTTCTTTCTTTAATTTTCTTTTTCTTTCTTTTTTTTAAAAGGAAAATCCAAGTTAAAGCTTTTTTTTTTAATAAAAAATTTGATGAAAAGAAAAAAAAAAAATTGTTTTATTTTTTTTTATTATTAAGAAGACTTTATAATTCTAAGCCTAAATCAAAAACCTGTATAAAAATTTAATTTTTTTGTTTTTTAATGATAAGAAGAATAACCTGTAACTTCCCCGGTATTTTTTATCAAAATAATTTTTTTTTAATAAATAAATCAAAAAAAAAAAAAAAAAAAAAACCAACAATTTTTTATTTAAATTACCCCCAGGTTTAAAAAAAAAAAAAAAAAAAAAAAAAAACTTGTTTTCTTTTCTTTCTATTCTTTCCTTTTTTTATCATTATATGATCATTATCACAATCATCATCATTATCATCATCATCATCATTATCCCAACGTTTTTTTTGGAAAACAATATACATATGTAGTTATTCGAGAATGGAAAGAAACTTTTTTTTTTTTCCTTTTTTTTTACAAATTAAAATCACAAATTTTTTAAACCACTTTTTTTATGTAATGCCATTTTCTTTTTTTTGTTTTTAAGAGGTTAAAAAATAATTATAAATATAAAATAAATGGAATCAATATGTTTTATATTTTCATTAAGTAATAGTTTACAAAAAAAATTGTCAAATACATCAAAACAAAATTAAAAAAAAAAAAAAAAAAAAAAATTTTTTTTTTACTATAAGGTAATAATAATGTCTTTAACATTTATTTTATATACCAAAATATGTGTGCCACGTTTTATCATTATTATTATTATTATTATTGACGAGACAGAGTGAGAGAGAGTGAGAGAAAAAGAAAAGAAAAAGGTAATCTACTTAAATAAAACAACAATTTGAAATTAATAATAATAAAAAAAAAAGATTCAATACTGTTAGAATTATAAAATAATAATAATAATAATTTCGGAATGTACTTTTTTTTAAAATAATTATCATTATTATTATTCTTAAAAAAAAAAAATTATGTTGTGGTGCAGATTTAAAAAAGAAGTAGCGAATAGGAATTGAAACAAATTGCCTTTTTTTTTTTAAAATCGAACTGTTATTAATTTTGATTTCGCTTAACATTATTAATATCAGTTAAATTTGTTATTATTATTATTATTATTATCTATTGAAATTCTGTTTTTAAAAAAGTATCATTAATCAAATGATTTTTATTTTTTTTTGTCTCCTAAATCGAGTGAATTATAATATAAGGCAATAATTTTTTTTTTTTTTCCTATTTGAAAACTGTGTGTTAAGGCTTGTGAAATTGAGGTAACAAAATAAAAAAAAGTAAATCGATTAATTAATATCGAAGAGTATCTCTCTTCTGCATGGCATCTCTTTCCTTTCTTAATTTTTTTTTTTGCATGCGTTTGTGTTTGTTTGTGTGGTTTAAATAATTTTTTTTTTTGTTATATACAGTAAATTACCTTATATCTGGTTCTCCTAATTTAAAACTTGTAACATAGTGTTGAATTTTTTTCTTTATACATATTTCTTTTGTGTGTTCAATTTGAACCAAAATTAATAGAATAAATCCAGTGTTGAATCACTGCGTTTGAAACTGAGGCATTGTATAAGCCATCATGGTTTGAGGCATGTTGGTACCTGGTGGTGGGCCTGCGACAGGAGTCGGAATTCCCTGCCAGCCAGCTGGCACCACACGATAAGCACCTTGAGGCTGATAAGGAAACTGACCATAAGCTGCAGCATAATGTGGTTGTACACCTTGTAAATATTGACCTGGCATTTGTGCAGCTGCTGTTACTGGTGGAGCTTGATAGGTTCCCGGTGGATACCAGTATCCCACTTCAGTATATGTTTGGTATGGATAGTGAGCATTGGCTGCCGCTACAGAAGACCCTGATTGTTGAACCTGCTGTGGCTGTTGAGCATTTTGAGCAGTAGCAGGATCGCTCGATTCTTTTCCCCAAAAGCATTTCACTTGTTGACCATTTATTTCGGCATTATGCATTGCTTCTATAGCATGGGTAGCCGCTTCTTTTGTAGAAAATCTATAAAAAAATCACAATTTTTATATTTTTTTTTTATTTAAAACATTACACCATTATATTTTAATTTATTTTATTTTAAAAAAAAAAAAAAATCTATATAAAGCATAAAAAAAAACAAATTTTTTAAAAAAGATATAATATTTATGCATAATCATACCAAATTTGATACAATTTACCAGTGAATAACTTAGACATATTCCATTAGGATATGGATTAGATCCAACTGGCTTGTATAAGATAAAGATATCTAAAAATTTCTAAATTTAATTATAAATAAAAATAATAACTTAAATTTTAAAAAATATATATATATATATATTTAGTATTAAAAAAAAAAAAATAAAGAAATTAATTTATGGTAAATAGTTGTTTAATCAACTATCGAAAATAGCTTAATATAAATGTTTTACTAAGAAAACTAACCAAAACTAATAACTCTCTATCAAGCATCATTATCATCATTCATCTACTTCAAAGGTATAAAAAGAAAATAATTTTTCTAAAATGTATGATCAGCTGTAATAGTTGAATATAAAGCGAATAAAAATTTTGAATAAATAAAAGGAAATCAATAACTATATCTACTAACCCCACTATCGGGATAAAGGAATCTATTTTTTTTTCTTTACCTGATAAAAGCATATCCTTTATCTTTAAATGACCTAATATCTTGTATAGTTCCAAATCTAGAGAATGCTTTCTCGATGAGATCTTCATTTATTCCATTGGTAAAACCGCCACAATATACAGTACAGTTGGTTGGGCTAGACTGATTATAAACCTCTTCATAGGACACAGCTTTGGCATTTCCTTGCCTTGACCTTTCTGTACGAGGTGGCGGAGGCTTTCTCGTAGACCAATTAGTACGAATACTTCGATTGCCAAGCCACTGTCCATTCATAGCATGAATAGCACTTTCAGCTTCAGCTTTTTTAACAAACGAAACGAATGCATAACCTTTTGATTTTAATGTCTGGGGGTCTCTAACAATTCGACAATTCGAAATTTCTCCGAATGGCGCAAAAGCTTCTCTTAATGTATGCATTTCAATTTCGGGACTTAGGTCCCCTACAAATATATGGTGATGACTACTAGTATCCTGCTTCGGTTGATTGCCAGGTGAAGTGGCCCAGTTTACCTTTATTTCTTTTTCCAAAACATGGCGCTTATTCATTGCAATTAAAGCAGTTGATGCGGCTTGATGATTCACAAACTCAACAAATGCATAAGGATCATTATTGGGTTCCCGAATAATCTTGCAACCCTTAACGGATCCGATTTGCGAAAATAAGGTACAAAGAAGGTCCTCAGTCACCGAGACATCCAGGTTGCCTACATATAAGGTTTTAGGATAGTTTTCTTCCGAATTACTCATTTTTTAAAACACTGTAAACACGTACTAATAAGTTCTTATAGTATTACAACCAGTCAAAATAAAAGATTTGCATCCCACATCTATTATAATGAGATGAAAATGCGCAAAGTTTATTCTCTTGTCGACAAGCGGGCACTTTCAGAAAGATAGAGCTTCGTGCTGTCAAAAGAAGCCTATGACGTCATTTTTCTAGAAAGGACCATGAAAAGCCATTTTTAAAATAAAAAAAATATATTTGACATTTAAATAATAGATTTTAATAATTTTAATTAAAATATTGTTTTTTTCATTTTATTATTTTTTAAAATCAGATTTTAATTATAATTATAACTTTATTTTATTTTTAGAGGAAGTGAAGTTTTATCACACTATAAGTACAATGATTTACTTCCGCTTTTAAGTACGAAAATTTGCTAGAATTCAAATGTGAAATTTCTATTCAAGTCTTGTAGTGTAACAGAAATACCTGTTATTTAACTACTCGAAAAAATTATCGACACATAAAAATACCCTATATCGATTTTAAGAAAGAACAAAAAATAAATAAATAAAAATGGTATCCGCAAATACTTTTTGAAAATTTTAATTTATTCAAACGGCCATTTTATGGAGTAACGTAAATTTACTTTTCAGGAAAACCTGAAATTATGAAAAATATGTTAAAAAACTTCAACCAACATTCTTGCCTCAAATGATTTTATCACTTAGTTATGTCTAGCAATGCTTTGAATGAAGAGATAGAAGCTTTAAAGTCAATTTTCGAAAAAGACCTAGTTTATAATGATTCAAAAATTACTATTACATTATTTCCACTTCAAGAGAAAGAGAAAAAAGAAATTCATGTTCAAGTAGATCTTTGCGTAGACTGTTTGACCAATTATCCATTGAAGTAAGTTATGACACTTTGTTAATTCTATTAATTCAAAAATTTTTCTACCATATGTCCATATGTCATTTTCTATTCAACTGATTATCATGTTTAATTTATAATATGTTTGATTTAGGGAACCTAGAATAACTTTAAAAAATGCTGTCGGTCTGTCTGATAGCCTATTGGAGGTACTTTATTGTAAACTTAACGAAATGGCAAAAGGTCTTAGGGGTGAGGTGATGATTTACAATTTGGCTTATTTCGTTCAAGAATTTCTATCGGAAAATAATAAACCTGGTAAAAAATCATGCTATGAGGAAATGATCATAAGAAAAGAACAGCAAAAACAAGAAAAATATCAATCTGAAGTCTTTAAAAAAACTAAATTGGTAAATGTTTATTAATAATTATGATGTGTAGTTAATTTACAATTTTATGGGTATATAAAATTTAATTTTACTTGTATTTGTCAGATTGAAGAGAAACAGAAACAAATTTTTCAACTGACTGAAAATGATTCTTATGATGATAGCGATGAAGAGCCAGAACAAGTAAATAATGCCATTTTAGGAAAAGAAGAATTATGCTCTAAAGAAATGCAAAGGAAAGAAATGTTTTGCGAGCACAGAAGTTGCAAATACATTCAATTTAATAATAAAATTTTAAGAGGAAGATGTATAGGTGAGAAAGTTATATAATCATAACTTTTACAGCTAGTTAAAATTATATGTTCTGACTAATTTATGGCAAAAATTTAAATACTTTTATTTCAGAACATGATTCCCACAGTGTGATATATTGTGCCATAGATAGTACAACAGGAGATCAGTTGTTATTACAAGAATGGGTTTTAAAGCCCATTTCAAATAACGATTCAAATATTTGCATAATCCAAGAGAAACTAGAAGAAATACAGAAAAATATTAACAATTTTAAAAAATTATGTCATGAAAATCTAATTTCTTACATAGATTTTAAATGGTCGTTGGAAAAGGGGGAATGCATCATTCATGTTTTGCAGGAATATGTAACTAATTTTAATTTGAATGTTTTGATTGAAAAAAGTGGAGATTTAGATTTAAATTTTATTAGGTACATAACAATAAGTATTTTAAATGGTTTAGAATATTTACATAGTCGTAACATTGTTCATGGCTGTTTAACCGGTTCAAACATTCTTATCAATAGAAAAGGTGATTACTGTTTTCTTTTTGTTTCATTTAGAAACTTTTTAATATTCAAAATTTATGTTATAAATTTTTAATATTATTTTTAGGGATTTTAAAACTGTCAGGATATGGAATAAAAAAGATAATAGACAACTTACACAATGTTTGTTCATCGGATGACTCGAAACAAAAACCGAAAAACATAACTGAAAAAAATGATATTTTAGAAGTCGGTTTGTTATTATTAAAAATAATGAAATTTTCTGTTAACGAAGAAAATATATTAGTGCCTGATTTTCAACCTCCTGAATTTAAAGAATTCATTGAAAAGTGTTTAATTGAAAGTGAAGAAGGAAGATGGACAGCGAGGAAATTATTAAATCATAAATTTTTAAAGTTTAAAAGTAGTTTTGAAAATGCACCGAAAAAAAGATTTTCCAATGGTGAAGTCGATTTGAAAATTAACAAAGAAATGGAAGAACCATTTATTGAAATTTTCGATGGTGATGAAAATGTAAATTCGAGACTCTCAAAAGAATTTAAAATATTAAGTCATGTCGGGTGTGGATCATTTGGAAAAGTTTTAAAAGTAAAAATTGTTCTTTTTGTTTTTTTTTTTTTAAATAAGTTTTACATACCTAACAAGTTTTATTGTAATAGGTGAAAAATAAACTTGATGGTAGTATATATGCCATCAAAGCAATTAGATTGAGTTCGAAAAATCAACAAATGGATAAAAAAATGATAAGGGAAGTAAAACTTTTATCAAAGCTGAATCATGAAAACGTTGTAAGGTATTATACATCTTGGATTGAAAGAGATTCTTTACCAATAGATGTTTCTTCTCCATTAATAGATTCTGTAAGTTTATTTCTATTAAAAATTTTTATTGTTTTTTTTTTTAATTATGGATATTAAAGTAAAAGTTTTTTACAGGATATTGTGGATGGGCTGTCTGGAAAGAGAGTAAATAAAAGTAACGTGGTAAATTTTGAAGATGATGAAGAAGAAGAAGAAGAGGATGATGAAGAGGAAGCTTATGAAAGTGATAGCACTGATGAAGTTGATTCGGGAAAAATAGTTATTGAGTAAATATTGATTGCACCTAGAAAAGAAAATTAACAGAGATTTAATGTTAATATTTTTTTTTTTTAAACTCTTGTGTTTTAGCGAAAAAAGTAATCAATCGTCTTACATTCAATTTTTAAAAGAAGATGATAGTGAAAATGATAAAAATGATGGCGATTCAAAATCATTAGAAGTTAGAAACAAACCATTTAAAGAACCAAATAGTACCATGTACATACAAATGGAATTTTGTGAAAAAAGTACTTTAAGGTGATTAAAGTTTATTTTTTTGTATTTGTTTCATATGCTGGAGAGATTTCATTTATTTTATTTGTTTCGTAGAATAGCCATAAACGAAGCTGGCTCTGTTCCATTGTGCGAAGACGACAGAAGATTATGGAGATTATTTCGGGAAATAGTTGAAGGATTGGCTTACGTTCACGGACAAGGTATGATTCACAGAGACCTTAAACCTGAAAACATATTTTTGGATTCGAATGACCACGTAAAAATTGGGGATTTCGGACTGGCAACAGTCAGCGTGGTATCAAAGTAATTCAAATTTTTTTTTTTTTTTTTAATCGTTTCGATAGAATTCGCTCATGTTTCATCACGCATTTTTTACTTTTCAGGTGCTTTTACCTTCAAGCGGAAACATCTCTTGCCGCTGGTGACGCGTCGTCGCAAAATTTATACGATGATTTTCATACGGGAAAAGTTGGAACTTCTCTATACGTTGCTCCCGAATTAGACAAGACTTTCGGAAAATCTTTTTACAATAAAAAAGTCGATGTTTATAGCCTGGGAATAATTTTTTTCGAAATGTGTAACGGTCGTTTTGAAACCGACATGGAAAGGATCGAAACGATTTTAAATTTGAGGAAGAAAGAAATAAATATGCCTTCGTCTTGGAATGAAAAATTGCAAAAACAAAAAAATTTAGTTAAAAAATTATTGAATCACGATCCGAAATCAAGGCCGTCTTGCCAAGAAATTCTCGAAGGGAATTACCTTCCGCCAGCCGAATTCGAAAGCGAGCATTTACAAGAAATAATGAGACAAACATTATCGAATTCGAAAAGCAAAGTTTACAAATACTTGATATCATCTTGCTTTGATCAGGTTTATTTATTTTATAAATTTTCCAACATCAAATACGATTCATTTACTTTACGATCAAATATCAAGCATGTCTATGTTTAAAAAAAAAAAAAAAATTATGTAAAAATAAAATGAATAAATTTCAGGAAACTCGCATGGAAGAAGATTTAACGTACCAATTGGAAAACGTTCGCTCGGAAAAACAACATTTTCTCATAGATTCGGTCAAGGAAAAAATGGAAAGTGTATTAAAAAAACATGGCGCTCTCTATTTTTCATCTCCGCTCCTATTGCCGCAAAATAACGAAAATAAAAAAGTCGAAACGAAAGTAAAGCTCATGACACATTCCGGAAGCATAGTAAACTTGCCTTACGATTTAAGAATTTCATTTGCCAGATATTTGGCGTGCAAACCGTTCACGAGACTTAGAAGATATGCCGTGGAAAAAGTTTACAAGGAAAAAAAAGTTCACGGCCTTCATCCTAAAGAACAATACGAGTGTGCTTTTGACATTGTTGCACCATCACGATGTATGTTGCAAACACGAGAGAATTTTTCTCATTGCAATTCGTGCGGGGCAAAAAATCAATTTTTTCTTTTTTACAGCCATCGGAAACGCCGAATTGGAAGTTTTATCACTGATGGAAGAAACCGTTAATGAATTTAAATCTCTGAAAAATCGTAATTGCGTCTTACGACTAAATCATTGTTTTCTTTTAAAAGCCGTTTTAATACATTTCAATTCTGAAAAATGGTTTTCTGATGTATTTAGAATTTTATCAACGGCTAAGGTACAGTTTTTTTGTTTATCATTTTGCATAATTATTATTATCATTAAACAATGTGCTAATTTTTAGGTAATTTTTTTTTTTTTTTTTTTTTGACAGGATAACAAATATTTTAAAAAGAAATTGGAAATAAATTTACAGGGAATCGGAATTCAAAGCGTAAATACATTATCAAATTTATTTTTAAAAGAGGATTCGTTATGCAATATAAAAAAAGAACTTTTATCGCTGACGAATAAAAGAGGGAAAACTTTGGAAATGCTCAACACCGCATTTGATAAATTACAACGAGTGATAAATGACGCCGAACAATATGGCCTTAACGTATGCATTATTTATATTTAATTAACAGGCACGAAAAATTCTAGAATTATGTAAATGCGTGTGGTTTTTTTTAGGTACCGATTAAAATATGTTTAGGCACCGTGTGCAATTCTGAACACTGTTCGGATATAATGTTTGATTTAGTGTACAGAATGAAAATAACGGGGAAAAAAGAGGGATGCATCACTCTGATGTCCGGTTGTAGATACGACGGACTCGTATAAATTTTTGGCCAGGGATGGACACACACAATTAATATTTTTTTATTGAAAATTATTAAAGTAAATTATTTGTATTTTTTTTTTTTTTTTTTTCAGGAAATTATTTGAATTAACTCCGGTAAATGCGGAAAATGATTCGCAATCTGCGGTCGGATTAACAATTTTTCTAGATAAAATTGTAACGGTTTTAAAAGAAGATGACATCGTTTCCGAATACGTCGTTATTTGTTCCCTGGATAAAAATCCATTTTCGAAAGTCAAAGACTCCGTTTTTAAAAAATTATGGGAAGCCGGCGTAAAATGTTACGTCGAACAAACGATTCAGGTAGCAGCAATGATTTTTGTTTTTAGTTCGACAAAAACGAAAATGGCGGGAGAAAAAAATGACAAATTTTTTTTAACTTATTCGTGTTTTTTTTTTTTTTTTTTTTTTTTTTTTTTTAGACGTTGGAAGAATTAACGGATTATTGTCGAGAAAATAAAATAATTCAAATGATTTATTTAAAAGAGAACGAGAGCGATTTCGCATACGTCATGTCGTGGGACGGAGATAAAAATCATTATTTGGAAAAAAAGATGAACGTTCGAGACGTAACGGATTATTTTTTAAAATATATGAAAGGATTCGACAGTTCCCAGCACTCATCTACATTTTCCACACGTCAGAGTTGGGATTATTCGATCGGACGAAATTTTTCCGGCGACAGCATGAACGGAAATCAAAATATAAACGTGCATTTAATAAGCGATGAAAAATTAACGTCGAATCAAAGGAAAAGATGCGAGAATCAAATAAGAAATCAATTGACGTCGATCTCCGGTAAATTTTCCTGCAGGACTCGTTTGGAAATAATCGGAGTGCATTTGGACGAGCAAAAAGTCAAAGAACTATCGTTGAATTTTAAAATGATGGATTCGTCGTGCAATTCGGATAACGATTTTAAATCCGACAGGTATGCGACCTGTAATCAATTTAAACCTCCAGGTAACGTTGACGTTTCCCCATTCATTTTGTCTTTCAGGAGTTGGGAGAAGAAGCAAAATAATAAAATCTATTCGAAAATAAGAAACATCATTTCCGACAGCAATTCAAACACGGTTATTATTTTATACAGTTTAATAAACGATAAATATTTTTTTATAATGGGAAACGATTAATCATAATTTTATTTATTATTAGAGTGTGAGTAAAATTAATTATGTATACATAAATTATTTATTAAGATCAACTTTTAAAATTTATTTTTTAATATTTTTATTTTTTGATTTTATTTTCCAGAGTTTTCTTTTTTCAATCGACTACTCGTGTAAAAATCATTGGGTATTGAAATTCTATAAAAAAAAAAAAAACTTATGGATACTAAGTCTGATTATTTTATTTATAATAATAATAATAATAATTTTATTAAACGTTCCTAATTTTTTTTACGTTTTATTGTATTTATTTAAAAATTTTAATTATAATTTTTTTTATTTATTTTAATTTTAATTATTTTTATTTGATTTTAAATAAGATTATATATATATTTTAGGAATAAAATTTAGAAGAAGAAAAAAGGAAAAAATTAAATGGAAAAAAGGAAAAAAAAGGAAAAAAAAAGGAAAAAAGAAAGAAAGAAAAAAGACAAAACATTTTGTTTTTATTTTAATTTTACCAAAAATCGTTCAAATTTATTATTATTATTTTTTCAAATTAATAATAATAATAATAATAATAATAATAATAATGATAATAATTTTATATATAAAAATTTAATTATTATTTTGAAAAAAAAAAAAAAAAGACGTACATTATTTAATTTTTAAAATATTAATTATTATTATTATTAATTATTTTTTTCAAAAAGGTACAAATATCGTATAAAAGTACACTTAAAAATTAAATTCAAGATAGATTTAAGAACAATTATACACATAAATGTATATATTTATATATATATATATATTAAACGAACAATAAAAAATTATATTATTATTATTATTATTATAATTAAATACTAATTGTGCGAAAATTAACATTAACACGTCTTATAATGCTCAGTTCAAAAAAATCGAAATCGAAAAAATTATTTTTTTAAATACATACATAGATATTTTATTAAAATGTTTATTTATTTATTTATTTTTTGATTTCGAAATATTAATAATAATAGCTTTTATTTATTTATTTATTTATTT